CAAACGTCGCCTAAAGTAATTGATTTTACCCGGCAGAACGAAAGAAGGAAACTCCGCTTTTCAGTCGTCTTATGCCCTTGTTTTTTGACAAACAATGACCTTTCAGAGGTCAAATTGCTGTCAAGAATTTGAATTGGCTGCTTCGCAGCAATAAAGTCAAGACCATTAAAAAAAGTTGTCGTTGGGCGTACGATTGCCGAGTTGTGTTGTCTTGTGATTTTTCATTTACAAAAACTTTTATCCTTTTTAACCAAGACTGTTGCAAAGAAAAACACAAATTTCCTGTTATAAAATGGGACAATAAAGAGTTCTTGAATCTTGGAGATAGGCCTGGTTGCATGTTATCTTGCTCAGTTATTTTCTTTACGTAATGTCTGAAATGCGGCGGTAGTTCAGGTAGGCCTACAGGTTTTGATAGCAGTTTTATATAATTTTTCATAACATAAGTATTTATTACGGTATTACTGGTCGGAGATCCCGTCTTGTCGCTTAAGATACTATATAGAGGGTGTATCCAATTGATCTCTGTTTTACGTGTGTGCATCGACCATGGTTTTTAAAGTGAAATATTACTGTACTTTGTATTTTCTTTAAAAGGAAATGGAATATAAAGAAAGAGTCGTACTCCCAACGACAAACAGCAAGAGATCCCGTGTTTGAATCCCCGTGGGGTGATTTTTTTTTACACTCGCAGATGCCTCTTCTTTAACGCTCAAACATTATATATACATGCATATGTTCACGTACGTAAAGGCAAATCTATTATTTTTCAGACAGAGTATCTATAACCTATTCTCAGTCTATTTTTAACTTCGGAACTATTCAATTCCATATTATATTTACTTAATCTCCCAGAAGCATTTGGCATTGAGGATGCCTATTAAAATGATTAAATCAAAATAAACTGAATTTGAACCTAATACAATTATTATTAACTATCTATAAAACGTTTCCGTATGATGCGGTAATAATCCTGCCGCAAATTTACTTGCAAAAACGCGTCAGTGACGTAATTCAGCCGTGTATGTTTTATTGTGGGTAAAATACAGTAGGTCTTCTATTAAACAGGTCGATCTCATATACTATTAAATCAGCAGTCAAAATTCTCAGTAAATAGGCATATACGAACATTTTCCTTATTTTTAAATAGCAGGGGAATATGCATTAATATTCAGTATTCTTCAGGGCAATATAAAGTAAGACTTTGGACAAATCGTATATCAAAATTATAACCCAAGCCTATCAAAATTTGAGTGTGTTAGCTCATTGAGATTCATAAGGGACTCGTGATTCGTGGAATAAATGACCAAGCAAATGACGTAAACCTCCTATAAAAAGTGTATCAGTATCAAAATTCCACATTTACTGAAAATATACGACCCACATTCATGGCCTTACAACTAAGAACTACATGATTAATGAATTAGCAGCAATTGTATAGGCTAAATCGTAAGCACTACATACAAAATAACGTATCTCCCTTGAACAAAAACTTTCCTCTGAAGTTCGAATTACAGTTTACAGAGAATTACAGGGAACAAAATTCTTAAGAACATAATACAATTATAGCAACATCGCACCAAAACAATTTACATTGTATTAGAGTTGGCTGCGTTCTTGGGAATTGATTTTTCTGGATGCCGAACTAGGTCTGGGTAATTACTGTTATGATTGTTAAAAACCGTAAATAAAGCATTACAGCAACGTTTTTCTATTACTTCAACGAACCTTATACCTAGATACAGAGTAATAATCAATTGGGATCTTTTGTTGCTCCGGGCCTATACCTACCGTTTATCGGAAGTGAAGGGTACCGTAACGATAATAATGTTATCTAAAATTCTTGCTGGTCGATAAAGTCTCTATTACGTTTATTGGAATAAACGCCCCTTTTAAAAAACTCTGCTGTTGAACGCTTGACGTAGACGCCCCGTTGAATGTATAAAAACCGTACCGTTTATTCGAATAAACGCCCCTTTGAATGTATAAAAGCCGTACCGTTTATTCGAATAAACGCCCCCTTTTAAATAAACTCCCAGTCTGGGATTTAGTTTTACCATAAACGCCCCTCTCAAACAACCCTGAATAATCCCCCATTTTATCCACCATTAGTGATTTGTAAACCTTCTTAACACGTATTTTGTAGTTTAGTGTATTAATTCACTTTTCCATTTTTTATGATGTGAAGGCGGGTGTGAGCCCTAATGTATATAAGGGATAGGCCTATTAAATAACAATTGATACCATTTAAAAAGTTAAACCCACCCGAAAAAAACTCGCCACTCAAAAACCATCACAAACAATAAACCATGGAGGGCGTTTTATATCCAAAAACGAAATAGGCCTAAAATCCATAGATCTAGTATTTACTAAACATTGGGAACAAGAGGGTAGGGCGCAGAACCAAGTGGGCGGGACATCTGTTTCGATATCTATTAGAATAGTAAGGAAATTGTAATTGTTCGACAATAAAAACGGTAGGCCTACACCTTATCCGTATACGACCGAGTTACGTTGTAGTATTTTGGGTGTGCGCTCAATGTGTTCTCAGTGTTGATAGGCCTACCCAAGACCATCAGTTTCCTATGAAATCTCATATGATTTGATTAGAAATATGGTTTGTTTTGACGCGCATTTTTGACATCCAGAGCTCGGAGTCGTTAGCTCGTTATCAATTATAATCCTGTTTGACATCGTGCTGTTATGTTGAATGTACTGTATTGGAAATAAACACATCTTTCACTCTGATTTATATGCAGTTGTTGACGTCATCACAGCGGACTGGCATTGATGGCAGTAGCTAATGTCCTGGATATTTTTGATGACCTCAAATGCATTTTTATATAAGCATGTTATTTTTTTTTTCAAAGAAAATAATTCTATTAATAATCTTTTGATAATATTAACAGTTTCCTCCAAAACAAACATTCTTAAACCCCTATTAACTATTTTGCCTACACTTGAGACCGTTTTGTTATGAAAAATAAAATGAATGAAAACAAAAACAAGAGGAAAAACACAAGACACTGTTTCAAAAAACGTATCTTAGATGTATTAACTACAAAAGCTGTTGATTCAACAACAATCTTACAGAATGAGAGTGGAAGTTATAAATGCAATGATTGATTATTATTTATTTATTTATTTGACGGCGATGTCTTCTTAATTATTCATTCATTATCTAGGGGCCGAATATAAACAGCTTTGTAAAAGGTTATTCATTGCCGTTTGCGAAGCTGTTTACTTTCGTATGCGGTGGGCTTAAAACCTATATTTTAGTATATATAATTATTCATCAGCATCTTCGTGAGCTGCTATCAACGTAAATTATACTGAACTTTAAAGATTGCATATGTCTAAAGACTTAATTCACGTATCACACTCCACAGATAAACATCATGCGAGAGATACAGACATTATTTTTTAGGCATATCAATACTTGACAGCCAACTTATCACACGTGAGCTACTACTTATAATTTGTTCATTATGTTTTCATCTTAGAATTTGTTTTACAAACTGCCGCACAAGATTAAAGTAGGCTTGTTCTTGAGTATCGGTAAATGATCCATGATGTAGGGACGACTTTCCAGTAGAGGGCGTGGTTAGTAACGGCGACGAGCTTGCAGCGCTTGGTGACGTCACGCTACCACCCCGACGAAACAGGCGCTGCAGTGTATGGAGAAATGTTTCCTAAGAAAAATAATTAAAAACCCCACGATTATTACGACTAAAAAAGAATATAGATCAAATTAAAAAAAATTTCCAACCCATATGGTCCCGTAAAATATCGTGAATTATTTTCTTACAGGTTTTGTCTATCATAAACAGATAATGATTACAAGACTGTATTTTCGGACTGAGACTATAGTTGGTAGAACAGCCTGTCTTCTCTATCCCGGAAGAAACACCGATGCTGACATTGGACAGGCACCCAACCACATTGGCTCCGGTAATTCCTGACAAAATACAGGACATGCAAAAGTCTTCAAAACATACACCGCTAAATTAATAGTGACCACGCGCAGGTTTACCTCACAAAAACGCCATATTATCGCTATTATAAAACACATTAAGGAGTTGAGCATGAAAAAAAAGCAAACACGCACATAAAAATTGAATCTTCCGTAAATGTGTTGAAAGGAAAAGTTGAATTGAGTTAATAAATGAAAGGGGAAACACCTGATTACCAGGAGGAATTAAGAAATAATTAATGCCATTAGGTATTTACAACCAGCAATCCATCACTTGTTAATTAACCACAGTTAATTAATTGTTTTTCTGCTGCTCATGCTCGTAGCCAGATTTAGCATAATTTCCGGTTACTTCCTGTTCACCTTATCTTTATCTGACAAGGGTTTATGTGCTGGATTGTGGCTTCATTTTGAAATTAACAACAAATACACCAAATGTTTATCTGCTGAACTTTAACTCTCATCTTGGCATACAATCAGCAATTTAATTTAACTGTTTTCGACACAAGCTTATTATAAATTATAAGTCGTCACATGGGTAAACAAGTATAAAGTTGATTGGCTAGAATATTAAAATTAAATTCACTCTAAATAGCTCAACAAAATCAGAGAAAAACAAAGTGTATTTGGAAAATATTTATCAAACACTATATCATTTAGCAAAACGTATGATAAAATAATCTCTAAAATTGTCAGTAAAATTGTTTGTTTTTCTAAAAAGTGAATTTTGCTAGTCATATTTTTAATAACAGTAATAATAATAAATAACAATAATGTCAACAGTAACAATAACAATAATTGCAACAAAAATGATAATATAAAATAATTAATAATAAAACTAATAATAATAATAATAATAGTATTATTTAAGATATTTATTTGGTTTGAATATAACAATGAACAAACAAGCTTTACAAGTCATCACATCAAGAAATAATCAAAACACTGTGATGGGGTGAGAATGGTGGAGGTTGTGGGGAGGCAGCACATGGAAATGGAATGAATCAACAATGGATATATCATGAGAGGACAAACTCCTTACCAATTCAGAACCCAGCTCTCTCTTAAGAAGCTGCTTATCCCGCTGGCCAACCGATGACGGTTCTTTCAAATAACGAAGACACTGTGACATTATCAGGAACAAAGCACTTTCCAAAACAAACATAACAACAGATCTGAAAAAATGTAAAATATTATTTTATCAAAGTATGTTAATAAGCTATCATGATTGTATAAAGTATTTGTCGGTAGTACCGTATTACCTTTGTATGGGGGAGTCTTTAAGTGGCACCAGTCTAGCTTGCGGTGATTTGCTCGGTGATCTAATTGGCGATGTGCTTCTCACTCCCTCAAGCTGGGGTTAATAATTATAGAAAATAATGGTCAACAACATTGGAAAATATCGACATGTAATCTCAATTTTACATATACACAGATTCAAAGTTGGAGAAGCCATTTTTCGGAAGATCTGGTTAAACAAGCCTTCTTAAAGTTAGGCTCAAGAGCAAAACAAATTCTTTATGTCGTACAACTCATTTTTCTAAGACCAAGAAGGGTGTGTGACGAAAAACTCAGAAATGTTTAATGAGATACAGATTCACTCACAGCTTTACTCACAAAATACATTTTTAAATTCCACAACAAATTACGAATTTAAAAGAAAAGTAAAAGAACATCTCCAAAAATTGTTTTTAAGTATTGTATATACAGTATTGTTTTGGAATCATATTTTTGGCCTTTTTGTTACTTTTTTGTGTATTTTTATCTTGGAAATACTGTAGTATATATTATGGTGTTGGAATTTTGAATACAACAAATTAAATTTTTGAATATTTAAAAACTAGGAGAAAAGGGGGAGCAAACATCCTTTTTCCACCCTTTACCCTAGTTTTTAAATGTCAAAAATCTGTATTTCAAACCATAATATACTTTTTTGTCAAACACCTTTTTTTTGTGTCTTAAAAATATAAGTAATAATGTACAACATATCAACATTCTTGTTTTCCTCTGGAGCCTGGGTTTAACACATCTAATTGTAATTTACTGCACATGGGTGACACCCATCGCCAGCTGTTTTCAGTGAAGCAATTATTAATACAGTAATACAAACATACAACCATCACAGGGGCGGATTTGGGAGGGGGCTTTTGGAAAGTAAAGAAAAAAGAGAAAAAAAAACAAAGAAAGAAAAAGAAATAACTGATCACCCAAAAGGCCTCAGAGGTTATTCTTGGGCGTCCAAAAAACAAAAATCTTGTGGCCATGCCCACGGACCCCTCAAGGTAGTGTTGTCTCAAATGGCCCCATTTGAGACGATGGGTTAGTTTTTGGGAAATTTTTGTTTAGTTGCTGGAGTGTGGGAAACCGCCCTGATTGCAAATGATTTCCACGACCCAAGACTCGGGAAACCCTGCATGTACATTTGTGTATGATCAACCATAGAGCAAAGGTCTAACTAGATAACTTTATTGACTCTGTAATGTAAATATGAATTAACCAATTAAGTAATGAGAGAATTTGAAACCCCCCAGATTGGGCTACAGCTGATTATATTTATTTTCCATTTCAATTTTGCTCACAACAAACACAAGGTATGCCAAGTGAGAGGAAGAAAATATACACATGTTTACTTACTAGAGACAAAAACAATTACACTATTGAAGGTATACATGGTGTTATTTAAAGTTACAATACTGTACAAACTCTAAATCTATACTCTATGTAAACATTGATATAGCATGCATTACATCATGTATAGCAGAAATTTGCCAAAATAAACTTTTACTTGAGCCAGGTAAGAATTAATTCCCTTGAACTCAAATTTAAATTCCTTTCAGAAAATTCCGACTCTTAAATGCTGTAATACTGTACATGATGTATCAATGATTTAACTGAGGTAGCGAGGTAGAGTTTAAACATTTTACAGTGTTATTGGGTATAGCGCTATGAGGGGCCTGAATATTTTACATATGTTAATTAGGCAATCTAAAACATTCAAAGCAGAATTTGATATAGTATTGCAGAGCAGCATTACAGTGTATAAGTAATTGATGATTGAACAATGTGAATTATATCTTTCTTTTTTACTTTTCTTCATAGACACATAATTTTGTAACACAATACAAGCAAATTATAAAATGTGTAGGTATATTTCCATTGGAGTCTTTATACAGTCACTAACTTAGGTACATTTATAAATTTGTAATTAACTATAATTCTACATACACAGACTAGTGTGGCTATTTCATAGCCACAGGCAAAAGTTTCCTTACCTTACTGAGAAATCTAACGCATGTGTTGATACACGCAACAAGAGAACCAAATGACGGAGGTGAGTCGTGATCAACAGTTGGACTAGTGAAGGCTAACGCAAACAACAGCGGGAATTCAGATACATCAATAATCTTGACGAAGAATATAAGAAATCAAGTGGTACCGTTGAACTTCCATGTTTTACCTACATAATTACATGTCATTTGTGTTTCACACTTTACTATATTTATATATTGTATATTTGTTGTTTGTCAATTTAATGCCATTTCATCTTCCAAGCATAACAAATTTTGATATATTTTATACAGACCAATACAACTGAGTTCTTGAATCTTGAATAGTTCCTATATAAAACACTGAAAAACTTCATTCCTTTAAAGATGTATTGTCCCAAAAAAACACACACAAAAAAAAATCATTAAAATATTTTTTTCAAATTAACTTTCGAAGTAACATAAAAATTAAAACTTAAACACAGAAATTAGTATACAGTATTTACAAAAAAGTTACCAATAATTTTACAGTGTAAAATGATAGAAACACTTTCAGTAACTGGTGTTATTACAAAATGAGCAAAGTTAATTTTAATTTTAAAATTATTTTTTCCAATGATTTCTTGTCATTTTCAGGGGACAATACATATTTAGAGGTATTACTACAGTGTCAATATTGTATATGTTACCTTTGTATATTTTAATCTGTAAATTTGTTAATTTACAATTTGCATTATTACTGTATTGTTTTTGACATTATGAAATTGTGTGACTTAACATATATGTACATACATGAATATTATATATTACTGATATCATATTATTCAAAATTTTAGCTGCAAGACAAAAATTGCATTTTAAGACAAGACTTCAAGCTTGTAATTATGACAATTGAGTTCATAATTTACGCTAACTCTGATCTCATCGATCAGTTGATAGAGAAACCAAAATGGTAAACAGAGGAATTAAAATACGTCTTTGTATCATCATCATCATCACCATCATCAATATCATCCTAAATGTTATAGTCATTGTTATCATCACTGTCATTGTCCATCACCATTGTCATCTTCATTGTCATTTACATTATTATTCAGATTAACTACTATGATGAACTCACTGGGCTGCAAAGAATTTCCAGGAAATCAGGAGTGAAGTGTCTAAGAGCAGCCAAACCATTTCCAAGAATTGTGAACAACCTACAAAAAATATTTTGAATTAAAAAAAAAAAACAATCAGTGGATTCCACATTACCTAAGGGAAAAAGTTCAGTACATAATTCATATTTAAACCTTGTAGGAAATTCCAAGACATTCACCAGTTTTCCATGGGTCAAAGACTAGGCTCCCACTAGCATGTGCCAGAAGCAAGGGGCTTGACGTTAGCACAAGCTGTATCTGTTCTAGTATTCATGTATATAACTTACATATCAGCTAGAGTAATAACAATAAACAATATCATGTTACACTCACTCAGACTGTACTGCCTGCAGTTCTGCACTAGGTGTGTCAAAATCATCTGTAGACGTCTGGTGTTGGAGTCTGGCTAAACTTCCCATACTGTGATTCATTTGTTGCTTGTCTTCTTTCCCCCCTTTCTTGTCAAACTGAATTAAAATATATATTGTCAACAAGGATTCAATCTAGGATTCCTCATGAAATTCTAGTCAACTATTGTTTCTCTATAATCTACTTGGGACATTATTATGCCAACTCTTATCTCATGGCGCAGTTGGTAGAGAAACCAAAATGGTAAACAGAGGAATTAAAAGACGTCTTTTTATCATCATCATCATCAATATCGTCCTAAATGTTATAGTCATTGTTATCATCACTGATGATGACAATCATCCTATTGTTTAAAGAAGCGTTTGCTACTTGTAGACTACACCCATTGCTTAACATTGGGCTCAGAGCTTCAAAAGAGCTTTATTTTTTGTAGGTAGCTTTGATCAGTAGGGTAAAAATGCTTTGATTATTTGTTTATTCATAGCTATGTAACCTACAATAATGAACTTTTGGTACTTGTACATATAAGCTGGCAAATATGGATAATTTTTTATTTCTGATGATAAAATAATTAATGTCAAAATATTGGAGATGTATTATACAGTACTATCCTATTTGAAATGTGTATCTTATATTTAAAAAGATGTCAATTATGCTAGAAAAATGGTAAACCAATTTGAAATTTAATGTATATATTTTGTTAATATTATATTATTAATGTATAATATAGTTTTGTACTGTTGTCGATATTAATTAAATCCAGACAATGCCACTCAACAAAGATGAGAAACAAACTAAAAATATGGAAAAACCAGTGAAGGAAAAAGTACTTGGGACCACAAGTCTAATGAGTATAATATTGAATTACCCATTTCACACGAAAGCTTATTGCTTTTTATCTTTATACATGTTTACCTCTATAAGGTGCTGTAGAAGTCGCGGCCTCATCAGTAAGGCAACAAGTTGATGGCACAGGCAGCAGACCCTGGCTTGGACTTGCTGTACAGCCTGAGGCATCTGGAACCTCCACTCCTTAAAGAAGCGGGACAACTGGAAGATGAACTCCATGGTACGTTCCGCTTCTTTCTGGCATGATGTGCTGTAGTTTGACTCAACAGCTTGCAGACACTGAACATTGAATCACAAATAATCAATAAATCAACTTCTTGACATTATCGAAAATACAATGATAAAGTAAATTATAGCAGAAAATATATACATATACACTCAAATAAACGCCCCTTAATTTCATTGTAAATGTGGAACTACAACACATAATTAACATCAAAATGTGTTATTTAGTAATCATAAAGACTTACTGATCCCAGTAGGATAGTACTGTATAATACATCTCCAATATTATCTCCAATATATCAAAATGTGTTATTTAGTAATCATAAAGACTTACTGATCCCAGTCAGGTTAGAAAAAATGTAATTCTACTGGAGCAGAATTTTAATAGAATGTGTTGAGAATATTGCTTGAATTAGTTTTGTTTACAGTCATTTAGAGGGAGTATATTTGAGGGAGGCATTTATTCAAAATGAGGCTATGGAGGTGGGGGGGGGGGAGGGGCGTTTATTCGCAGGGGAGGCTATGGAGGTGGGGGGGGGGGAGGGGCGTTTATTCGCAGGGAGAGGGCAGGGAGTTTATTCAAATGGTAATTAATTAACTTAGCACCTCTTGGATAGGTACTGCAGTCATTAGAAATACAGCCAGACTCACCTGTTGCATCCTGTCATGATGAACACCAAAGAAGCTGAGAGCATCCGATAGGAAAGAATGCTTCAACGTTGTGATCATTCCCGTCATCAAGGAAAGTGATATACGGTAAATACCCAGCCACGTCACACTCTCCGTCTTCTCAAACTGATAAAGAGAATAAAGCTTTTAAAAGTACAAGTTTAACCGCAAAGCTCAGTTGGTCAAGCAACCGAGCCACAATGAAACTTGCTACTAAGCTCTGCCCCTTAGATATTGTTGGTAAGGTCCAAATACCAATAGTGTAAATGTATATATTAATCGGACAACATGTGTGCGTGTGCTTGTTACACAATGCGGATTCCTGTACTCTGATTGGTCAGTTGTTTAGTTTGATTGACACTACGGAAAGGTCCATTTGAGGGTCCTGGGCTTGCATCCTTTTAGGATAATACAATTGCACCCACCCTCCCAACAAAACTAATTATCGTTTACATACCTTTGGTGTTTGCGGTACGCTATTACTGTAGACCCTACTTAATGGTAGACAAATGTGATGTATTAGACCTGTTACTTGCAAAGCCTCTGCAGCCTACAAACACAAGGATACAGATTTCATCATTTAGTGGTATTTAGTTCATTTATGAAAAAATGGTCATTGGTTATTTGACTGCAACACATCCAAAACATTGTCTGAGAATACTCAGCAAAAAAATTATGTACAGAAAAAGGTGATGATGAATTATATCGATTCCTCATCGTAGTTGTATTTGTTTTAAGACAAACCAGTCATAGCATCTAATATTAAAAATAGAGATACATCTCCAATTTTATTTAAAATAAAATATAAAAAATAATTAAAAATATATTTATAGAAGAAAAAACAAAAATTATAGATATTAAGACCAGTGTTGAATGAATGGATAAATGAATTAATAAGCAAACGAACAAAGAAACTAATGAATGAAAGACACTACCATCAAAGCTATATCTTAGTAGCTACACCTTACCTCTGGGTAAGCAGCTATGTCAAGGAATAGCAATAAGACAGACTCGACATAATCCAAACCTTTCATAGACTGTAATAATAAAATAATAACACATATAATTAAAAGCATTATCTGACATGAATAAAGATACATAACTGAAAATAATTATACATACAATTAAAAACATTATCTGAGTCTCCTGAAGAAAAATAAACTAAAAAAAAAAAAAATTATCCCAAAAAGAAGGTAGGTAATGTACTGCATAAAAAATAATTTCAGAATCTACAACATTTTTAAATAAATTCATAAGTGATTACTACCATGTAAAACTTGTATTTTCTTTTTTGGTGCAATGTACATGTAATAATGTACCTTGTTTAGGTTTTGTAAATGTTGTATTTGCTCTGTAATAGTTAAGTATGGTAGACAACACTTCCCTTCATTGTCTGAATTAAGAATTACACTTACCTCCATACATGCTTGTACAGTTGAGAGTAGAAGAGCAAGTACACTGTGTTGCCTTATCATTGGTAACCACAGGTTCTCAGTATCAACTGACAGGATCAATTCATCCAGCATGTACACACCAACTATTGGTAACTGCCACAAGATGTTGAAAAATGTTACATAACTTATTGATAGCAGGCATTGCTGCTAATGATTGCTATTCAACAATGTCTTCATCAATAAAAATGTAACTTACATTACTATCATTGTCAGAATTCTTAATGTTTTATAAATATCATCAACATATTAGCCAACTTAGTATCAGTGTTGTCATTAAAATCATGATCATCATTATGACTACCGCCATAAACAATCTCATTATCTGTCCAATCATCATCATCATCAACACAACCATCACCACTGTCACTACCATCATTTTATTAATTTTTTATTTTTTTCTTTTCCATTTTATTATCTGATAATATTTATATTATTACCACTATTTTTTGTATATATTAAATAATGTCCACCACCACTACTACCACCATCTTCACCATCACCACCCTACTCTAATTGTAATTATCTAATATCTCCACCATCATCATTACCATCATCATCAGAATCATAACAACCATCACCACTACCAACAGCACCACAACTACCATCATCAAAACATCACAAATATCACCACCACCCCAACACTTGCCAACTTCAACGCACAAAAATATATACAGTGTTAGTATCTCTGATTTTACTACTTCAAAAACTATTCAAACATTCTGCAACATTTTTACATAAATTATACATTCACCTGTTCAGACTTCTTCTCTAGTTTGATTTGTGACCGTTTTTCTACACTTTCAACTATTTCTTTTTCTGAGATTATAGTACTTTTCTTGACAAGTACTTTAGTTGTTGTGGGCACCGCTCGCTGGTAGTACATTTTACTGTGACGCAGCGATGAACAAATTATTGACAGAAGTCTGGAAATGGTGGTGTCTTCCAATGCTTCAAGCAGAAAAAAAGACAAATTCAACTGAGAGATACCAGACTATAGATGTTTAAAATAACTTAAATTTAAGAGCTCAAAAGTATCTAAAATTTCACATGGCTGCACTCCTTGTCGATATTATGATTTTTACCTTTTGGATTCTTTCCTCTTTGGTACTGAAGCAAGACAGTGATGGAAGACAACATAAGAACACGTAGACGAATGAATGACTTGAGATCCTCATCCGTAAGATGTTCCGTAATAAAGATGAGATCAATTAATTTGTTCCACTGATCACCATGAAGACTGAAAGAAAACCAACAATCATTCACCAACATACACTTATTAAAGAAGTTATTGTTTTTAATTATGTCGTTATTATTGATATTGTTAATGTATTTATAAATGCTGATACTATCAGTGCCACTAGCACTATATTTTTCTCAAGCCATCTTGTAACATCATCATAAAATGTGTAAATGCTGTGGAATATGTAAACATCGGTAGAGTTCTGATCGCCAAGACTGAATATAATGGAGAATGTATATCGATAAAAAAATGTGGGAAATAATTTCATAGAAAACATCATTAATAAAATTAATGAATTTTGAAATTATTCATTGTTAGTTTTCTCTTTCTTTTTTTAGCTTGTTCCACCCTTTTCTCTTGGTTTGATTGTTGAAGTTATCTTTTTCTGTATAGATCTCTTTCTGTTGTTGTGAAGCGATTCAAGTTGGTTCAATGGGAGGCGCTATATAAATCTTGGATTATTATTATTATTATTATTAATATAATAATGATACAGGTAATAACATAGCGAAAGACTATGATGATGAGTTGATACCAAAGATAATCAAGATGATCTGATGAATGTGACAGTTTATTATCGCACCTTGTCCAGCGTTTCAATAGACTCAAGTATACTGAACCAAGTAGAAGACAAGCTCGGACGTGGAACGTTGACATCGTTGCAACAACCTACCAAGAAAAGCAGCAAAGAAAAGAGATAAAGATTAAACTACACAAATGGTAGTCATAGGAAATATCAACGAATCAATTTTTAAAAATTAAATTTACTTAATAATAAATAATAATAATAATAATAATTTTTTTTCATTATTATTATTATTATTTTCATTCCTATGTTTATCCATATACCCTTTTCTATATAACTCAGTCCATTTTTCAATGCCAGCTTTTACAGTTAAGTGTGTGCATATGCATTTAACAATCTGCGTACTAAACTCACCTGGGATTTTATACTTGCAATCAAATCATTCAGAACAATGATCTTGATCTGGTCAGAAGGAGGACTCTGTCAATGTTTATAGAAAGATAAAATAATATCAATCATACTGCAAATAAAAATACAAACATCCAAGTAAAATAATCACTTGCCTATTTTATTATATGTTATTGTATACAGTATTTTCCTTTAATAACAACAATAATAGCCCAGGTAACCACCATTCTGTGCTCAGGGCACTTCCAACATACAGGCCTGCCAAGAGGACATTAGAGTTTAGAGAGCTCCTGTTATGAAATCAAAAGTGTCCATGTCACAGGATCATGAAGCCCAAATTTAAACAGGGGTAGACTGATTTAAAGCCAATCCATTACCAAACTTTTGTCTTGAATTATAAAAACCAGTTTGTGCAAAAGACACTATAGTGCACCATAACAGCTATTCCATTACCAAATTTTTTTCTTGAAATCTAAAACCAGATTATGCATAAAACACAATTGTGCACCATAACAGCTATTCCATTACCAAATCTTTTTCTTGAAATCTAAAACCAGGTTATGCAAAATACACTTTAGTGCACCATAACAGCTATTCCATTACCAAATCTTTTTCTTGAAATCTACAACCAGGTTATGCAAAAGACACTATTGTGCACCATAACAGCTATTCCATTACCAAATCTTTTTCTTGAAATCTAAAACCAGGTTATGCATAAAACACTATTGTGCACCATAACAGCTATTCCATTACCAAATCTTTTTCTTGAAATCTAAAACCAGGTTATGCATAAAACACTATTGTGCACCATAACAGCTATTCCATTACCAAATCTTTTTCTTGTAATCTACCACCAGGTTGTGCAAAAGACACTATAGTGCATTATAGGAACTTACATTTCATCCCTCTATGTGAAAGACACAAGAAGAGCAGTAATAGAATGGACCATTCACCTAAGAATCACCCACTGGATACTGTTGCTAGGCTAACACAAAATGACAGCATAAATGTATGTGGGACATGCACATATTCATGACCTTGTTCCGATTGGTCAGTTTGTTAGTTTGACACTTTGGAAAGGTCAACTGAATTGAACAAGAGGATGGATGCACGGATGTCTGTGATTTAGTTTACATTTATTATGGGCATGATGTATCTTACCGAAGATAGCACCAGAAGGAACATCCTCCAAGCTTGTAGAAGGATCAACCCTTCATCTTCCCTTATAAATAAGTCTTCAGCATCATCCTCTTCACCAGCTCTGTTCTCCATCATCTCTCTAATTATCTAATTATAATAAAATTTCAACATTAATGCTGATCACTTGGGAATCTAAAAAATAATTTTTTTTTTAAATGTCAAAAAAAAATTTGCTCTTCAATTTGCAAAACCTTAAAATAAATAATTTAATTTTACAACTGAACATCCAAAAAAATATTAAGGTGTTTATAAACATCGGTAAATAAAAAAAAAAGTGTTAAAATTTTAATTTTCATTATTTACGGGTGTCTGTAATATACCAGTGAGATACCTGGATGAAATGGCAATTGCCACTAATCCTAAATTAGAACCCCTTGAGAATTGTCCATCATGCCATATTATATGTAATGGTTGTAGATTATTCAATGATGTATCATACAATAGTCCATCTAAATCTTTTCTTTAATATTCAAATATGCCAAATATAGAGCAAATAAGGCAAATTAAAACTCACCTGTGACCATATCTTGTACTTTTGCTCATGATTAAATTTCTTAAGTACATCTTGTAATCCTTTTTCCAATGCTGATCTAAATTGTTAACAATCAAATCAGTTGTAAAAGTAAACTAAAAACTTGCAAAATAGAAAATGATGATTGCCACCCCTCCCCCGCTGCTGACGCCGTGCCCTGTCGGCTGAGGGAGCAGCCCGGGTGAATTGTCGATTGGTGGCAGGAGCAGGAGGGACAGCGGCTGCGGGCTGCGGGAGGGGATGCAACAGAGGCTGTTGCTGCTGGGGCTGATGTGACGGCCTCGCAAACGCCCAGCGCTGGGAACGCGCTGAACGGCGGTCACGGCGCGGGAACTTAGCCATAGTCTGACGCCGCGCTTCCAACTCCCTAGCCCAAGCCTCTTCTTTGGCAGCGAACTGGCCAAAGAAGAGGTCATCTGCCCCAAAAGAGGGGCAGTCTAAAACCGGTCAAAATGACCGGGGCTGACCGTTGTCGCCCGGAGCACATTAGCCCTCCGGGCCGCGCCGGCAGCCTGGGCGATGGAACTAAACTGGTCCGAAATAAGGCCAATGCCCGCACGAAGGAGGCCAATGGCGTCCGGGACAAGAGTTACAAGAAGGACAAAGCAAACCCCGCCCCATTCACGGCGCGAATGCCCTCCCGAGCCGCGCGGTCCACAAAGGCCAAAGCCTCCTCAGCCGCGCCCTGAGCTTTGTTAGAAAACAAAGCCTTAGAAGTAGAAGAGAGCTTCTGATCCTCCCGCAGTCTGCCCTTGGCAGCGCGAGGAATGGGCGGCGCCTGAATGAACTGCTTGAACTGGTCCTCGGGGACCGGAAAAGCAGCCGTAAGACGCCGCGGCGCAGCAACCGGCTTGGATTATCACAAAGTGATGAACTTTGAAATGTACATTCCTTAATTAGAATCCTGCGGTGAAAATCTTCACTTGTCTATTTGGGTAAGTTATTTCACTCTAGGTACCTCATCCTACTATGTTAGTAAATGTGGGTAATATATTCGCTGCTGGAAACCCTCAGCATATTGACTAATTTTACCATAATGTATACCATCCTTCGAATGATATGCTCAGCTTACTGAATTCACTACACTACTTGGAAAATTGATGAGATGGTCTTCCTGTGTATTGAACAATACACATGTAAGTGTACATGTCTCAGAAGTGATATGTTCGTTAAACAGGGTGATATATATTCATTGTTGAAAATCCTCTGCAATTGTGCCTAATTTGCAATGATGTATACAATTTGTTAATGCTAATTAGTGCTTTAAAACTGCATGACACCAGTAATAGTTGCTAAGGGTCTCCCGCAAATCACGGGAGTCCCCCCGGAACTCCCTCCAACACTCCCGCAAGCAAGCACGAAGCTCCCAGAAAATGACCTAACTTTTCCAAATTCATAACATTTGCACGTATTTGTTACTTCAGTTATCAATGTTCTCATGGAAATCGGTGAAGATGGGTATCACCACGCGCAAAAAAACAAAATTAGATGTGTTAGGAAAGGTCATTTAAACAGACCTCCTGGAAGTGACTCCTTCCAAATTGGGACTCCTGTAGTTGTGTGCCAACCAAATCCTATTTCATGACTTACCTGTTTGGTTTTGGTTTTATCACCTTTCTTTCCAGGTGCTACTGTTGTTTTTTTCTCTTTGAAATTCAAGTTAAGGAACATTTCTATGAGACCAGGTTGACTTTCAACGGCTGAACTTAAAAATTCCAAAATGACCACACGCAATCTAGCATCCTAAAAAAATGGAATTAAAATAGACATAAAGATATCTTTACTGTGTATAAAAATTCATCATTATTTGCTGATTAATCATTTTTAAAAAGAAATTTGATTATCTTAATTTGTAAATATGTTTGGTTGCAATCATGAACAAACATATTAATCAATTTGTCAGATTAACTAATCATAATTTTTTTTAAATTTAAATGTAGGGTAGTTTAGCACAGCAGTTGCAGTTTTGCTTCTTAAACTTGAGGGCAGGGCTTCAATCCCTTGCTGTGAATTTTGCTTGTGTCCTTAGGCAAGTCACTTAACCTACAGTTGCCTCTCTCCGCCCAGGAGCACAAACGGGTACCTGGTAGGTTGACCCAACGACCAAGGATAATAATATGAAGTGCTTAGAGGAATTGTTGTTATTAAGCGCTATATAAGTGTAACATATTATTATTATATACACAAACATGAATAAGAGTTTTTATAACTAATAGCAGTGCTTACCTCTGAATGAGATTGCAATCGATATAAATATGTATCTCTGATAGCAATAGCATGGTTACCTAGGCAGCCATACACAGACATTGGTGCAACCTAGAAACAAAAAAAAACAATCTCTTTTTAAGCTTGAAATTAACTCAAATTTAATCAAATAAATAAATAATGCACAATTTGGATAGATCACAAAGAGAGCAACAACTTACTAAAGCTAATCTTTTCAACAGGAGTGTTGCAAGTGTTGGCAATCTAGGATCAAACTTATGGTATATGTATCCAGCAATCAGAGCCACTAAATGTGGTTGGTGAGGGAGGCCAGTAGTATGCGATGTCAACACTTGCTCCATAGGTGAAGGCTCGTGATTGGCTGGCTGCCAGATCATTAGTCGATTCAAGACAGAGAATGCAAGTTTAATAAGTTGTGTTAACCTCTCAACTGGACCAGCAAAGGTACTATAAGCAAAAAGGAAAAAAATATATTAAATATAAATAATTGTAATTATACATAATAATACAATTATTATTTTCTTGGTGAAAATGTGACATACCATCCATTTTCAGTTGCTCGTTGGTCAATGGCATCGACCCCAGTTGACACGATGTTCAGCAGAGCCTGACCTGATTCAAAGTTCAAAAAGCCATGTATACAAGTCTCTCGCAATGTCACCCTAGAAAATCAATCAATTATCCAATGAATCCCTGCACATCTAAACACATTTACCTCACACATATTGTAATACAGTATGAATTTACTTGCTACATTTTTGTTCTGTTTGTGTTTCATAATTCAAAAATAATAATTTTTGACTAGGTAATTTGGAAAGTCACTGTTTTTCTTTTCAAACAAAATCAATATATAAAATAAATACTTATTCTTTTCCTCCACTGTGCCTCGGAATAGTATGCTAGATAGGCAATATAAGTGCAGTTTTTATTATTATTATTATTATTATTTTATGTATTTCAGTGATACTGAAATTAATAATATATAGCAAATAAGAAAATATATTTAATACTAATTTAATAGTGTTGCAACTCTTAAAATTGTAGTTTATTATTCTAATTGTATATGTATGTGATCATAACTAAAAACATATCATTAGATAATATCATTATTTTTATTTAAATTTTAATCCAATTGTCAAAAAGTTTACGTGTTGTATTCTATTAAATAATTATATTCATTTGTATTCGGTACAAAAGCAAGACATTCAATTGGATGGACCAACATCCAAATTCATAATTTTTTAATATATAATTTATATAACAATAATCTGTTTTTTCATCCACGAATAAAGTAATATATAAATTAAAGTTAAACCTACCCTCTGCTTTTTTGTGTTTGGTTAGTATTGGTCCTTTGTGCAGTGTTGAGAATGATATGAAATATTTCCAAACACTTCTGACCAATAGTCTCGCGATCAGAGAACACATTGCAACGCCACTTATGGAACACAGTGAAGACCTCACGCTGCATGAAGACAACAATAGCCAATAGATCCTGGCTGACAGCAACATCAACATTCACTGATGACAGGCCCTGTCAATCAAACACAAATGAAGCATTATTACAATTAAAAAGTGGCACAACACCTTAGTGTATCAGGTTCGGGTCAATGCACCTACATTTAAAGGACCAACTAATGGCCAGATATTGTGTATAGAGCATACAACAGAAAAAGATGAAATTTGAATTTAAGAAATTAGTTTATTTTAATGAATATTGCATTTGTTACCTTGACAAGCTGATGCAAGAGATTAAGGCATGATAACGTAACTGGATACACCCCGCTTGGTTGCTCATGTCGATGAAGAAGGTTACCATAGTGACCAGGAAAGATGCCATCACCACTAAAAGAATTAGAACCAACATTATATAAATAAGAAATATATTTCATGAGCCATATACATTTACTTTAAATCTTTAGAATAGATGAGATATACATAAGATTTGAATTACCTTGCGGCTTTTGCTACTTCAGTGTAAAGGTTACCAGTGTGTGGAAGAAACCCAATCAGCTGCAGCTCTTTCCAAACCTAAATTTTTAGAAGATGAATTTTGCATTTTGAAAGATTTTTCATATTTTATCAGTATAGAGTACCACAGTCGTGTCGTGACAACGCCAGGTGGCGCCCTCTGTCGCCAACCAGACATTGGTTACCGTTCATTACGCCTGAATGACTTCATAGGTTTTCTGGAATAGGCATTTTAAAATCTAATATTTTACCATCAAAATGTACTAAAAACACAAAAGCTTGCATTATATTAGTTATCGAACACACATTTAATCATCAATTAAAATTTATAAAGAAAAACTAAGAAAAAACATCTTAATAATTACGTTAGAAATTGGGATCAATGGTTTGTCAGTGGAGAAAATGGCATCCGGTTGAACGCATTTTGCAACGATAGAAACGGAGTAGTATCATGTGGTATCGTGACGTAACACTGCAGTACTCTAAGTTTATGCAAGAGCTTCTATCATAATTTTACACATAATCTCATTCATTACGTAATGGTGGTAGCCTTTAAGTTGAGTGATATACATTTACCAGTTTGTCCAGGTAACAATTTACAAAATAGACTATTGCTCTGTTCACACTATCAAATTTTCTTTTACAAGAAACTGTTGTATGACCATATATAGTCACGATGTGCCTATATATGGTCATGATGTGATGTCATTATGAACATATTTAGGCATGTCACATGTTTTTGTCAAATAAAATTTGATAGTCTGGACAGGGCTTTAGGCTTAGGCCATTCATACACCTCCAACATTAACGGTCACTATGAGACAAAAATGCAGGAATCCATTCATACACCTCCAACATTAACGGTCACTATGAGACAAAAGTGCAGGAATCTATCGGCTACTATGATTCTTTACCTCTTGTGAGTTATGTTCAGCAACTGTTGTTATACAATCAAGACAGGATGTTATCAGTTGAAGAGGTGGATGAGGAAGACTTGACAACCTGAAAATTAATAAATACAATCATTGACTGGTAATTGTTTCGATTTTAATAACAATGAGCAAAACCTTTTCAAGCCCAATTTAGGATCTTTCAATGCTAGAGAGACCATCAATAATAATAATAAAAAAAGTGCACATGTGCAGGTCTTGGTAACATGAGTTAAAACAAAAATTATTACATCAATTAAAGTATCTTAGTAAACAAGATTTGCTTTAACTTACTGTTGAATAAACCTATATATTTGTTGTATGATTGGTTTAAAATTTGCAGAAATCGACCAATTGGACTTCAGCATGTGACCAACAAGTTCTACAATGCTCCGATTCTGACTTCCTTGAGTTTCTGTTTTATAAAATCACAAAAGAAAAAAAAATATATAAAAATATAAATATATTAAATCAACATTTAAAAATTTAATCTGGTTTTCACATGATAGTTTCTAATTCCTCTACTTATTAAATAAGCCAATTCTAATTTTGAACTGCGCATTCCTGTATCAAGGTCCATCAACATATACAAACATACACAGCACATAGGTTTATGTTGAATGACCTTGGCTATGGGCATGCGCATTTCAAAACACAAATTGGTTTATTGAACTAAGCTGCATCGCAGTTACCTGAGCCTAGTCCCTGTATTATGGACTCAAGAAAGTTCTCCATCTGACAACTGAACAAAAACCAGCCACTGTATTCATAATCCCAACGAATCAGATGATCACCTATAAATAATCATTTAAGTATTTTTATTACATTTATTTAAAAACATCTTTAGGCAGGATAACATATACAGGCGAGATCTTACCACTGTTATACAATATGGTCTTGCAAAAAGACAGTGCAATAACAACAACAACAAGTAACCAGCACAGTACAATAAAATAAATAATAGTAAAAACTTTGGAGTAAAACTATCCCCCGCTGGACACCAACCCGGTACTTCTGAGTCAAGGTTTCGGAGCCAGGAATTACGGCTCAAGATTAAGCTTAACTATAACTTAACTACAATATGGTACAACTATCCCCCACCGGACATCAACCCGGTATTTCTGAGTCAAGGTTTCTGGGCTGGGATCACAACTTTTATCTTAACTACAAACCTAACTAAACAATGGTAAAAACTATCCCCCACTGGACACCATCCCAGTACTTCTGTAACCACCCATTTTCCCCAGTTTTTAAATATTTAAAAATCTGTATCTCATTAACCCTTCCAGAGTTTTTTTGTCATATATACTTTTTGTGTCTTAAAAAAATCAGTTCAAACAACATATCAAACAATTTTTTCCTCCAAAGCCTGACTTTAAACAACTCCATAAAATAATGTTAAATTAACAATACAATAATAACAGGAACAATGGTAACAGCAGCAGCAAAAATGACAAAAAAACAATAACAAATTTTATTATCACTATGGCAAATGAGGCAAAGTAGAACCAAAAGAAAAAGAAGCTTTTTATATAATGCCAAAAAGGCAGAAATAAATGCACATGCACAACTGATAACATTAATTTCAAATACAAAATAAATAAAAAATTGACATACCTGTATTTTGTTCAAAAATAACACCTGTTGTTAAAGCTGGAATCACAAAGCTATTGGAACCATCAGCTGTAAAAGAGATTAATGACATGTTCAATAATAATGCTAACTGCTATAGATACATAACCTTAATAAATTACAGATGACAAATTTTCGTTTTTGTAATGCTAAAATGGAAACGGAGTACTTATATGAACGTTTTGACCCTATCAGATATCCTTATCAACTGACAGCTAGGTGTTAATTCAACTAATTGAAATTACTATTTCAATTAATATTAACCTATGCAATGTACCTTTTAAGAATAGTATTTTGTCTGTGACTCGTGTCCAAATGCCAGCTTGCTTCATGCTCTTTATTTCATCAGCTTTGTTGTTGTCAAGTAACTCAGTGAAATGGGGAAGATGGTTTAAATATTCATACACCTAATCAGAAAATATAAAGTAAATAGTTTATATATTCATACAGTTCTTTCAGATATATGAGTGTCAAAAATTATTTTAACTTTTTATTTTTCGTAATACATTGTGTGTTGGTCTTGATTACTTATACTAATATATAATAAATTGCTATACAACAGAAATTTATTTATGTATGTAGCATTTAATATGTAAAAAAAAAATGTTTTCTCAAAAAAAATAATTGTGCAATAGCAGCAATAAAGTGTACCAGCTGATTTCAAATTAGGTTGGTAGCAGAATTCAAATAAGTTCTACATAAAATTTATAATCCTTCTTTGGGTCCCTCTGTTAAGGTGACACCACTATTAAGGAAACTCCAATTAAAAGGGGATCTACTGGATATAAGTCACTGATGGGAGTTATTTTATCATACCAAACTTTATATCATATGATTTATTTGGATAACTGGTCAACTATAGCTTATCTCCAGTTTCAATGGAAATTGAATATATAAAAATACCTGTAAATTAAATTATATATAGCAAAATATTTATTAAAATAAAGAATAATAATTTGTCAAAAACATGCTCTAACCTTCTTTGTACCACTGGTTGCCATTGCTTTCAGTAGCTGTAGGAGGGGACTGAATTCCATTGGAAACTTCATGGTGGCAGAATGTAGAAGCATGGCCATTCCACCATCAACATCCTACGAGATAAATTATTTCAATACATTATATACCATCATTCACACTTACTTAATACATACCATATTTATTTGAATAAATTCATCCCTCAAATAAAGGCCCCCCTCTAAATCCTCATTTAGAATGGCTTCCTTCGAATAAATGCCACCCCACCCCACAAAAAAAAAATGACTGTAAACAAATCTAATGGAAGCAACATCATTCTCAACACTGTCTATTAATGTTCTACTCAGGAGTTGGGATCAATAAGTCTTTATGATCACACAATAACACATTTGGTTGATGGAAATTATGTGGAAATTGTTTATTTGAGTATATATACAGCACATATCCATTTTACACAAAAAACGCCTCCCTCGAATAAGTGCTCTCAAAAACCCTTCTCAACATTAACGCACTGGGGTGCTTATTCAAATAAATACAGTAACACATATATGGTAAATAATTTTAGATCAATTCACATACTAGGTAACAAATTTCATCTACACCTCTATACAGAATACGTATACTTTTGTAGGCCTGTTTCTGTTGTACGGTTATATAATCTCTTCTCACCCATCATACAATTGTTAAAGTATTCTTATATCATCAATAACCATAGTTGATGACAATTGCACTTACTTCCTCCCAGAATGTTTCACAAAGGTGTTTTTGTTCCAGTAACTGACAGGTGAGGTGCACCAGGATATGGGTTGATCCCAGTGTTTGCTCATCAAAAACAGAAAGAACCAAGTTGAGAAGGCCATATACGATTGTGTGACTCAACGGTGACAAAACCTATGAAATAATGTGAACAGGAAATATAAATTGAATGCTACAACCATCAAATTTAACGTAATTTTATTCTTTTCTAAATAACTGTATTAATTTGTACAAAAATAAGAATAACATGCCAAAAATATCTGTACACTACAATGATTATAAAGATTATATTTATTGCCAATTAGCAAACTTAATCACTGTCTTTTATAAGTGACAAAAACTATGAAACATATTAGATATTTATCAGAGCACTATGCATGAGAATTGTTTTTAAATCTGTTCCAAACAGCTACTTCTTTAGGTCAACTGTCGCAAATGCACATTATTATAACTTATCCTGGGTACTGTGCTTAAGTCTTATAAAGAGGCATGGTATATAGAGCATCAACACTCCCAAATGATCTCCTTTGTATGATGTATTTCTACAAATGTTAAAATATGGTATATAATAAAAAAAAAATAGAAGATGATGAGATTCTTACAGCATCTGAGCTAAAGGGTGCCAGGTTGAGCATGGTGTAAAGATATTGAAAGACCTGCAGTTGTAGAGCAGATTGACCAAGCCTCTGAACAAACTCCGGATCTTTATCAGGAAACGCAGCTGCATGGAGACTAGTCCAAGCTAGTATTAATGGACCATAGTGAATGATGTTGCCAAGGGAACCTACCAACTTGTTCAAGTCCTGTTGAATATTCAAGATAAAAAAACAGAATGTAGGAATTAAATGCCTACAGTATTAAACATGTTATAATTAATTATTATAATATCATTTTCCTTTGCAGCATCAACCTTTTGGAATTCACTATCTATACACATTAAACATTGTTCTTCTGTTGCTTCATTTTAGAAATTACTTAAAACTCATTCTTTCCACCATCAACGTGCACAGCACCATGGATCCTGCACCCCGGTCACTTAAATGACGCTTTATGAACTAGCATAAAAATAATATAATAAAAGCTATTATTATTATTATAAGTTAATACAAGTTACTATAAAATCAATACATAACAGCAAGGTTAACTCACATTGAAGGTCTCTTTACAGGAAACAAGTTTATGTTTTGAAGTCCTAAATTAAAAAAAAAAACAAAAAAAAACACAATAATATCCTGTGGGATATGATTGACTTCGGTAGGTACAGACATAAAAAAAAATTAAATGTCAACAGTAAATCAACATTAAAACAATAGTAATTACGTTATCAAAATACTTTGTTTATGTTCATGTCATATTGTTTTGTTCCTACTCACTTTCTCTTAAGCTGCCACCTTAGTTTGTTTTATTATTCATATTATTATATTTATTTATTTGTTTCTTTAATTGTTTGTTTATTCATTTGTACAAATATTATAATTATTATTGAAAAATATTTACCTTTCATGTGTAGTTTCTCCTAAGAAGTGGTACAGATCCAAACACTCAAGGATGATAAGGCAGCAATTAAATCTAACAAATAAAAAAATTAAAAAAAACAACTACAGCTCAAGTTTGGATGTGACATATTGTAGCAACATATTGTATTGCTGTCTCAAAATATATAAATGCTGCACCAAATGTGTTATTTTTTCTTCTAAGCATCACTCCCTTAGCTTATTATTCTATTTGGAATTGTGTTGCTTAATCAAAGCTGATCTGTGGCTGATACCTTGTCGTGGTAGAGCAGCTCGTGTTCCTCAGAGATCCGATGAGTTAAACTGGTGGTAGCCTAGCTACTGGTAGGGTCTCCCATGCCGGGCAGGTCGGAGGGGAGAGGACAGACAAAAAGTGGTCACATGGCCCTCCTAGGTTGAAGCAGGGGGTTGGACTATAGGTTAATTACCTGTGTCCATTAAAAAGCATTGATTACAGAAACCATTAATGTTAACATTGCAACAAAAAGCTATGCATATTTATTTAACACTACATTAACTTGTAATATGCACCGCTCTCCAAAAATTCCACATTAAATCCTTATTAGATATGGCTGAGTAAATACATATATGCCCTTAAATTAATACAAATAATGTGTAGAAATATCAATATCTAGATATTCAAACACTTACCCTAATCTGTTCATTAACTGATCTGCAGTTGTATCACCATCATATAAATGCTTGTTAGTTTGCCTTGTGCCAAAACCTTGTTTCTAAAAGATAAAGAAATAATACAGTAACCAACAAAGATCTTATAATAACAAGACAGCATTCTCCATGGTTTGAGAGAGGGCGTCCTAGTTGTTACTAGGGCGGTTGGTCCAGAATGTGCACGGAGATCATAGATGTTAAAGTTCAAAACTAATTGAAATTGCAAGAGCAATTTTTTGCAGTTTACAAGCAGAATTCGCAAAGAACGCTATCTTGTTATTATAAGATCTTTGATAACCCATAACAATTGTGCAACCTGACAGATGGTGCTATGCACTTTCATATAGTTAAAGTATTGCTTTGCATCATACTGTTTTCAGTAATTTGGAAGAATTAATTTACACTTATAGTAATAATTTCTAATGGGCATAATTTAGATAACACATTTTGAGACTTACCTGGAAAAGTTTAATAAGACTTAGTATCCTTTTTTCTGTGGCCTCAAAACTTTTGAAATATAAGAGTATGATCTCCAACAATTCACACTGAAGATGAATATTAATTATAAAGATGGATAAGTACTGATACAGAGAAATAAATATTATAAAAACAAAAAATATTAACATAAACAAAAAATGATAAATATAGGTAAGTAAAATCTGAGTAAATAAAATCGTATATATTGATATATATAATATTCAAAACTTACCTGTTCTCTTAAACATTGCAGTGACCATTTAAGAGACTGCCTATCAGTCTGCAAAATTAACAAAACAATTTTAAATACTGAAATACTCAATACACTAGCATTAAAGATAAATGTGAGACTAGCATTCTAAAAAAGAAATAGAAAAGAATTCAGAGCAGTAAACAGGGTGTGTGACTGAGCCCCTTTACAAGCGAACCTTCCTCTAATGACCCAACCACCTGCATAAAAAATCATCAAGACGATGAAGAAATGCACTCCTTAAATGCTAGAATACTTAAGAATCTGATCATCTCAAGAGTTTTTCTCATAGACTCCGACAGGTCAGCTTGGCCGCCCAAAAAAAAAAAAAGATTTTGATTGTATCAAGGGGTCATGCTCCTTGTTTCTATTTTACTGTGATAACAATATACTTCTTATTCACAAAATCATAAATGAGAGACATAAAGAAGTTCAGAAGTTTACCAACCATAGGAGGTCCAACATCTAGTTTGTTGGGGGCAACTGCTTGGCACCGGTCTTCATATTGGGCAAAAAGTTTATCAATGAGCTTCTGACGTTGTAGGTCCTGAAGACATTCCAAGTAAACAGCCTACAGACACAAGATATTACAGGCCATTGAGAATTATATTGGATATTTAAAAGTAGAAGCATTAACAACAATTTTAATGAACTGAGAGAAAAAATGAACTATTCAACCATATTTCAATTATACCAAACAAATATGAATGGAGCTCAATATTGTTGGTTTAAATTATTGTCTTCAAATCCCAGGGCATACTTCATTTATATGTATGCTAATCGCCATAGCAGAGTACTTACATTGTATGGATGGCCTAACTCTTCACAAAAGCTAAGCACTTGCTTAAGACAATGTAAGAGTTGAATCCGCTCAGTTTGGTAATAGTCCCACACCTGAAATAAACGAGCCCACAGGTCAGCATGAGTATCACCTTTAACTTCTACCATATATGCTGTTTGTAACAAATTCATCAAGTTCCTACTTAACATGTTTTGTATCAATTTTTTCTTAAATTGTTTTATTTTTATTTAATCAAAATGCATGCCATGCTCCTCAAGATAATGAGCAATTAGAAAAAAATGCAAAAATCCTTCAACTTGCCTTTAAAAGTAGAGCTTGGACACTGCGTTCATCTTTCAGTATTGCCTGGGGGAAAATCATGACAATCAGATCAATACGACGATGTATCGGATGTTGGTAGGGCCCCAATAGACTAGGAACTTACCTGAGATGCATCATAGATATGCAGATTGGGTAACAAAATTAGCTATGTAACATTCAGTAAGAGGCTCAATATAATATAGACAAATAACAAATGCAAGCAAAAATAATGATGAAAATCTACTTTATTTCTTCATAAACGTTTCGTTGTCAATATAGAGAAGTCTAGATCTTCAATAAATAAATGTGTTAAACTTGTCATAAAGAAATAAATAAAGAAGTTAAATAAATAAATACGGAAGTTAAATAAATAAATAAATAAATAACAGGTAAACAAGAAATGTAAAGAACATACAGTAGGTAATGTAAAAAAAAGTAAGGTAGGTAAATAAGTAAATAAAAAAGTATACGCACTAACTACTAACAAAAATGACGTAGTTAATATAAGATAAATTATTGCAAAAATATAAAAAATTAACCTGTAATTGTTTGGCTGATCCTCGGAATCCATGAATTAGGAACGACTCAAATAGATGCTGGCTCTGACACTCATCTAGGTCCTAGTACACAAAAGTACAAGCTGATAAATGTAAAATTAACTATTTTGAAAAATTACTGTAAAATCAACTATTTTGACAAATTACTGTATTTATGATCATGTTACAATAAATCAATTATGCATTCTTGTCTAAAAGTACTTGAAATAATTAAAAAAAATATTAATAGTAAAAACAATACTGCAAACAGTAATGACAATAATAAAAATTTATTACAACTTCTAGGTCACCTCTTTTAGGTAATTATTAATAAAGTAAATTTTATAAATTGTTAAAAATTAACATACCAGGAATTTGCTGAGTCTGACACAGAAGTTCAATTCAGGTTTGCCAATACTTTTATCTCCTTTCAGTTTGAGAGCTGAATTAGCACTAAAAAAAATGTTAAAGTATCAAAAGATTAGGAAAGAAGAAATCAGTAAATTAAGTTAAATAGGAGAATACATTTGAGTATTAGTTGTTACTGAGAATCACCTAAATAGATGGACATTGATGACCTGCCGGATGCTTCCTTGAAAGGCACAGTATTGTCCCCTAAAAAATCTTGAGGGAGTGGCCCAATGGCGTCCTCTACAGCATAAACCTAGCATTCTCCACAGAGTTATAATAAGAACACTAGAATGCTAACTCCAATATATTCAGTGTTCAAAATGTGCAGAGCTGTGCGTGTGTACCATACAAGATGGTTGCTATAAATTCAGCCAATCATAATACAATAAGCAACGTTTCAATGGCGCCTTCAACTAACTTTAAAGTTTTGAATACAGCTCTGTTGAAACTCAAGCCTTGCGGTGTAGCGTATACCGATTTCGATTTTCATTCCTCAGTACTTTATTTTTAATCAGATTCTCCACTTGGCCTCTTTTTGGCTACAATAGTTTAATAATCTATTAATATTATTAATAATAATGAAATTAAATAATAGTTAGTCAAAGGGCTTATTTATGGTTATAATATTTACGCTAAGCCTAAATGTGGCGCTTTCCTACGGTGGCCATCTTTGATGGTAGACATACACAACTCCGCATTGCTTTGTCATCTAGTCAGCACTCTAGTTGTTTAATAGCTCTGTGGCATTCTCACATTATTTGAAAAAAAAAATCAATAAAAATAGGGCCTGGGTCATAGGAAGTCTACCAGATGGAATATGTTTCAAACCAGAGGCTTAGTGTACCATGACTGGTTTGCAGTGAAAATTACACTAAGATCACATAAGTTTGTGACTGACTTGGTATAATGGCCTATAAGTTATGTGTTCAATTTCCTGTTATTCCCAAAATATATGAATATAAGGAAAAGCAAAAAAAATGTATTAAATGAAATAATCTGTATTTGTACAGATAACGTGGAAATATAGTGAAAGAAACCATTTCAAGAAGACTAATACCACCATATGAAGCAACTTGGAAGTAATGTATTAGGCATTCAGCCATAATAAAATTAAAGGATTTGTAAGCAAAAGGAACTGAAGATGAATTCATACTTACTACGGGATTTGTAAGTGACTCAACATAAATATATCCAAGATGGGATTTGTAAGAAACTAAATATGAATTCATACCAAGTAATACATTTATATGTAACTCCAGAAAATAAATATCAATAAAACATTTTGCAGCTAACTTTATGTAATATTAAATTCAACATCATGTTATATTCATACTAATAAGAAATGTTTACAGTAGGCTAGTAATTTGTTGTGAATTCATACAACCAATGAGAGATTTACAGTATAAGTAATTCATGATATCTGTAAAAAATATGAAGAAACACTTAACCAAATAGAGTACTCAGTATACAGCATATTACCTTGGTTTCTTGTAAGACAGCAATCCTTCTAACAGCTTTGTTTTATTTGCTGATAGTTCTTCTTTCACAAGTTCCTGAAAAAAAAAGTAATTACATGTAATATTCCAATATTTTTGCCTTGTCTTTTGAAATTTAAAATCAATTAGTGAAGTTAAAGGTTTTTAAAATATTCTAATGTTTAAAAACACTTTTGATAAACAATAACTTTAGAAATTTTTTCCATCTCTGCATAACTGACTAAATTATTTATTATGTTTAAATACACCATGAACTAAAAAACATTGAATTCTTATTACTGTACGAATAAAATGAGCCAAATAAACTGATAAAAATCAATACAGTAGCTCTGCTTTTTCATAACACTTATTTAAATCCTAATTAATTCCTATAGGATAATTTATTGAAATTGCCTGAGTTCTAGTACTGCTGTGAAGCTTGGAAAAATTGTGAAGATGTCTCAACTAGGGTGGGACATTTTCAATTTGGTTCCAAATAGGATGAATCAGGGTTGACAGTGTCAACAAGATTAGACTGAACAAATCTTGATGACAGGTCAAAGACACATCAACATTTAAGTATCTTAATGTACTTACTGTATGTATGCCCTCATATGCAAGTATAAAAAATCTGTTATCTACACAATCTTAAAAAATCTGACAATGTGAAATGTACGAAACAAAAACTAAGTATAGTGGCATCCTTCAGAGGTTCTCAATACCTTGAATTGTCTACCCTTTGAATTATAACCATAATCTTCATCTTCAATTGCAAATGATTTTCTGAAGTATTTCTTTATTTATTCTATATCAAGCTTTTGTAAAACAAGCTTCTGTAAATGTATAGCTATTGTTCAAATGTAATCATAAAATAAAGTTTTGAATAAATGAATCAATTGATCGATTAAACATTTTACTGTATACCTCCATCATTTACTTGATATTGAATACTTAGCCATTAACAAAAATGTTCACTGACCTTTGAGCGGATTGCTGATCTGCCAGAGATTAGTTGGAAAAAATCATGATTTAACCTATTAAATAAAGACACAAAAATTTAACGAAATGACTAAATAAAATCTATAAATTTGGATCTCTTTGTACTATAATACTAATATTAGATAGTTTAGTGGGCTTGGCTTTGTACAGTAACTTGCTGCTTGGCTCCCAATTCTAAAGTCCTGGGTGCCAATAGTATAAACCAGTATATTGGTTGTAGAGTAGTTTAACACTTTATTTAGGCCCAGAAATTTGTCTGCTCATTTTAAAGATATGCACTGATCCCTTTGCAAAGTTTGCAGAAAATTAGGCATTGATCTACCTTTAAACATAGGCCTACAACCAATTATGCAGTTATCAATGTGGTTCTGAACACCTATTTTATAATTTGAATCTTCATGTACCCCCGAGCAAATAATACTATATAGTGTGGCAGCGCTTCACTATAATAAGTAGTGATTGCACTGTTGAATGAGAATTATATTAAATAAACACCATAGGGATGTACTCCTTTGTATTACGGTATATTTTATAGTCCTTTAATTTTAATAATACTGTATTAGTAATTGATACAGTATTGAAATATATTTTTTAAATGCATCAGCAATGCTCAAAAATGGGTTTAAATAGTCTCTAATAATACCACATAGTGCTGTAACACTAGTGCTCACCATTCCCCCCCCCCCACTCCAGCGGATCGAATACTATTTGTGTCCCAGTCTGGTTCCGACTAGGCTAGAGGATACATACATTCCAACTCTCCCAAATATTTATGCAATCTCCTGTTCTCCAGAACTTTGACAAATGTTCCCGAAATTAAAGAAAAAACCCCAAAATATAAAACACACCTAGGCCTAATTATTTCTCTTTTATTGTCAATTTTGAGTACCATAGTCAATTTCCCCTTACTGTGCCCTCACTTTATCAACAATTTGGCATACAGTACAAAGGAAAGCCTGCTGAGCGGTACTGACACCTCAAAAGATCACTTCTACGAATATATCCTTCATGCAAAAATCTGGCATGCGAAATCCGTCCGCGAATTTTTTAAATATTAGGGCCGATTTCTGTGCAGATTTTGCCGATAATTATAGGTTTCGACCTAGGCCTAATCTTAATATATAAACAAGGTACTGTATTATAGGCTGGGCCTACCCGGGCCTAGCCTACCCTAGTTAGGACGTCTATATAGCTATATATAGGCCTAGTGTGTAGGAGGAGTAGGCCTAGGACCTACCTAAGTAGTATTAATAGCCTAGAAGCCTAGCTAGGCCTAGGCTAGCAAGAGTCACTCACTGCAGTTGAGGTTAAGGTTAGGGTGGAGTACTAAAGTCCATCAGCGCCAGACCATGGTGCTAGGCCCTACTATTCTAGGCCTAGGATAGTAGTACTAGCCTAGCCATAGCCGGCGCTAGTGAACTTTTGTACACTACATATTTTATAATAAATTATATAGTTGTTTTTGATTTTGTAGTGTGCAAAAGTACACTAGCGCCAACGTTCTTCAGTAACACTTTACCTTAAATTCGTCATTTTATTCACTTTTCATTCTCAGATTTTACCGCCTCCGATCATCGCCGCGCAGCAGCCAGCCATGTTTAACCTGGAATTTTGTAAAATGCATTTTCAGCGGCCCGCAAATACGGTTCAACTCGATGTGGAGATATAAGCGTGCTATTCTTTGGTTGGTGTGCAGTGTGCTACACTAAAATGTGTTGGGATTCTATATTTTGACATTATACTCGCGCGAATAAGCGCCCCGTTTGAGCTTGAGAAACCACCCCTCCTAAAGTAAATATTTCTTAAGCGCCCAGTTTGAATAATATCATAAGATTTTTCTTTTAGCAAATCAATAATCCAATCAATCCTGGGACTGCGGTTGTTGGCATGCAGTGCTGCAGAGTGAAATACCATATTCTTTTTATAGGTCCATATCAAAATGAGGATAATTTTCTTGGACACAATGAGGGCTACGATTCCTGGACGGACAGTAGGCCTATATTTCCAACTTTCCTCTTCTTATATATTTGTCTAGACCTAGTCGAACTCCTCGTTTTTCTTTTTTCGACAATTTGCACTTTCACATTCTGAGTTTTCAAGAAAACCTGCAAACCTGTCATCCTGCTAATCTCAATCGGCCGATGGCTCAAAAAGCTAACCTAGGCCTACCCACACCACCACTAATTTAGGCCTATACATATTTTACACCACCTATAATTCTGTTTTATTGGAAGCAATAAAGAAATACAATTTAATTTTATCATAACTGCTGTGGTAGACACTAATTGCTAAGATTGCAGTATTTAGTTCTGTATGATTTTAATGTTGTTTCTTTAATATTTACCATCGTCGTCCGACGTCCCCAGGCTTCAACATCATCATCATCATCATTATATTATTATATTATTATATTTGTATCATCATCATCATCATTATAGTATTATAAGGCCTATCCTTGAAACTGATTTCTTGGTTTTTCAAGATTTGTTTATAATATATTGTTATCTCTGTTTCTGTGTTACCAGACCAAGGCACTTTCCTTAGGGTTGGCGTATCATCGCGTACGTTTGCAACACCTGTTGATATTTCCTTTGACTTGACTTTCCTTCCCTTGATTTGTAGTACCGCATGGAGCCTATGCAATGCCAACAACACATCAAAAACTCGACATACTATCACAGACCTTTAATAAAACCGGATATAATAGCCACGTGCTACCATTCTACTATATACAAAATGAAAATATACACAATTTGAAAGTACAGGACAGGCTTACATTTTTAACAGAGATTCGGCGCATGTCATGTCAAGTTCAGCTGAGATATGCGGTACCAGCCATATACCACACTTCATCAAGGGGATGCGTGTTATTATGGCGTGGGAAAACTTGAGGAAATTAAGAAATCTGTTAGTGAAAATTGCTTTGCTATAATGTAATCAGATTTTACTAAAACTCACAGCTGGTAACCAATAATATTAGTCTATATAAAGGTTTTCATCGAAAGCCTATTTTCAGTTTGGCCTAATTGTATTTAATGTTTAATTTCGTAATTATATGGAATTACGGTATCAATATAAATACATAGATATTTTACAATGAGTTCATTTGATTAAAAGTTTACATCAATTGGAATTCAATTATTGTCACTGTATTATGCCACACCAACTGTGACGACAAACTACACGCACGTAAGCACGTAAGTTAGTGAGTGGGTATGGAACACATTATGTCTTTGTGGGACATGCGCGTATTCTGTTTGCCCAGTTGTTAAGTTTGATTGAATCTCGCAAAGTCATACATGTGACAATCATTTGAAACACACAGACCATATTCGGCCTCCCCACCATGACCATACAAATTATATTTAGCTTCAGGGGCGGATTTAGGGGCCCCGGACCGGCCTTTTAGAAAGTAAAAGAGGGAAAAAAAAAGACAGAAAGAAAGAAAAAGAAAAAAAAATGATCCCCAAAACGCCTCAGATGCTATTTTTGGGCGTCTTAACACAAATATTTATCAGGGGCATGCACCTGAACCTCCTAAATAGTGTTGTCTCGACCGGCCCCACTTTTGCCGCCCCCCTCACCCCACTTCGGACATCTCTGGATCCGCCCCTGAGCTTGGTAATTCTATAAAACATTAATAACTTCACATTACACCTAATGAACAAGTCATACTAAACATTGTTATAATTGTATTCATCCTTTCCAATTTTTTAAAGGATTTTAATTTAATACCACCATTTAATAGCGTTACAATATTTCGATCCCGTTTTTTTTTTTTTTTTTTAAGTAAACATTTACAGTAGGCCTAAATACACTACGGATGCTTTCATGTATCCTAAAACAATATAGTTTCACTTATTGTAAGTAAAATTCTGAAGAAATTGAAAGAATATTAACAACACACGCGCTTCTGAGCGTTTGAGTGATGATTGATGCGGATCCAGGATTATTCTGAGGGGTGGGGAGCAAAAGTGCCATTAAGAACTTATGGTCTGATCTGATTGAGGAGGGTTTGAGATGTTCTCTTCCGTTTTGTTCGTAATGCCGGAGGGCGAGTACTCCCTTTTCACCATACCTTGCTGGATCAATACAAAATAAATTATAATAAACCTATCACTTCCATTGAGTCCTAACATTAATATGCTACACTTTTATCGGACTTGACCAATCGCATTACACCCTGCTACTGTATTCTTGTCCATAATGTTTGATGCAAAATCCATTAACTCGCCATCAATATAAACATTCTGTAAGCAGCCTTGGAAGCCGTCAGTAAGTATACGGTCGTCTTTATCTTTGCCTGGCAATCCACCAATTAGAAGAGGTGACGTTACATCTAAAAACCTGAATGTTCAAATAATAATAATAATAGGGTGATTATAACGTCAAATATTTTATAACTTTTATTTTGTTGTTTTTTATTATAGTAATGAGTAAAAGGAACACTTTATACACGCCTAGGCCTATGTCATAATAATCCGAGTCTTATTAACAATTAATAATCATAATCTTTCTTTAACGCCATTTTGGTTTTCACCATTATTATTATCAATATTGCAATGGTAATGGTAATGGTAAAGCGCATACTACATGGTATCTATGCGCTATAAATTACACAAAAGAAACAAACCAAAAACTAAATCCTAAAGTCTAACCAAGCGACCTAAAAATTAAAAAAAACAAACATCAGAAACAGACTATCGCAGGGGAACTAACATCACCGCACCGTTTTCCTGCAATTTGAGACCACTGGCAAGCAGTGGTTTGCAGGATAATAACTCACAGTTGCTCAAGTGATGTTGACGTCTAGACTAGCCTATCCTAAAAAAACCAAAACTAAACGATGGAAAGTAAACAAAAGAGGTAAACAGCAGAAATGGAAAAATTAAAAAGTTTGATAAAGGTAGGTCTTGAGTCTCTCCTTAAAAATGGATACAGAAGGAGACTCTCGGATTTCAATAGGGAGTGCATTCCATAGCCTGGGAGAAGCAGCTTGAAAGGACCTCAACAACATAATAACTATATATATAAGTAAATCGTGACGTCATCACTGCAACTCCTAATGTTATTTGTCTATCCCTAACAGTGCACTATGTTTTTCATATAGTGCACGGTTGGCTTGATCTTTTTTAGGTTCGTGTGCAAAACTGTATTATACGCAACTATTGTAATTGCGTATTAATTGCCGCAGTCATTGCATGCCACAATGTAATGATACCGTGTGAACATGCGCAAATCATGAGCGCATTAGGCCTCATTCTACGCGACATACTCACCAGTGGACCTTCGTGGACTGCGTTGCCGTGGCTTTACATGGCACGTTGCTAACTTTAAGTTCGTTTTCATTGGTTCTGCAATTATCAACTACAACATCTACAATCTGTGCATATAAAGAAAAAAAAAACAAAGGTCATCAAGTGGCCTAGAATGTGGAATCGTTTGATTTCCGTTTATGAGTGTTCTTCCAAATTGCAGCTTAATTCATGATTGGGGTCTAGCATGAAAAATTAAATACAATGCAAGCTATTTATAAATCAACAACAAAGATATAGAAAGAATGTGGTTCGAGGAAAATCAACAGTATTTATATATTTAACATTTTAAGTTTTTTGCAAAGACTTATTTAAAATGTTTACTTCATGTTTAGCGTAACTTTACTTAGTTGCCAAGTTATATATTGCAGTGGTATGGATATAATTTGGATTAACATGACGCATCAGTGACATCCCATGAACTTGATGCTAACACTACAAAATGTCGTAAATAATATAGGCCTGGGCCTACTAATATGCTGAATGAAAGAAGTGTCAAATGGGGAAATTAATAAGGCGCAGGCTGGAATAGTGGTATACTTATGTTCTCTGGGTTCCTTTTTTTCGATGATTTTTGACTTCTCAACATTAATAATTAACGGAAATTGAAACGACACGGTGGACAGGATCAGATCATAACCACTCACAAAATTGCACAATCCCACATTCTAATAATAAGAAAATGACAGCTGCGTCTCGAAACTGAATTACGACGACATCCCAGCGTCTAATCATTTCCAACTGTTTCGAAGGGCCAAAGACAAAATCATCATTACCAATCATAATATATTTATTTAGAAATTGACTCACTTTCTTATGGTAAACCATGCTGACGGTATGCCAGGCCTGGTCGTCTAGGCCCCATGCTGTCCCAGCCAGCACCCTCATGGTCATTTGTCCGAACGAAAAGGATAAAACTAAGTTAGAATCTACGATCTCCAGGGCTAGAAAATCTCGTCGGTGATTGTAACGTCCGATGTACATCAGCATACCATCTTTGTGAGAAGTCTGCAGACTGGAGAGAAAAGAAATTATAAAATAATTTGGATAGTAAAATTATTACAGAGCAAGTGACCTAGAAAAAGAATAGCTACATTGCAGACAGTATATAAAATTAATTTAACATACGAATGACTTGTCAATTTTCATGAAAGTCGGGTTAAATTAATTATACTTTACATTAAAGGTGTGTGGCAGTGGCACCATATGCAAGTGACCCAAACATTAACTCGTAAAATATATAGAATACAAAGCAAATGCAAATAAACGATAACAATGATATATACATATATAAACTGTATATATAGTATGTATGTATGTATGTATGTATGTATGTATGTATGTATGTATGTATGTATGTATGTATGTATGTATGTATGTATGTATGTATGTATGTATGTATGTATGTATGTATGTATGTATGTATGTATGTATGTATGTATGTATGTATGTATGTATGTATGTATGTATGTATGTATGTATGTATGTATGTATGTATGTATGTATGTATGTATGTATGTATGTATGTATGTATGTATGTATGTATGTATGTATGTATGTATGTATGTATGTATGTATGTATGTATGTATGTATGTATGTATGTATGTATGTATGTATGTATGTATGTATGTATGTATGTATGTATGTATGTATGTATGTATGTATGTATGTATGTATGTATGTATGTATGTATGTATGTATGTATGTATGTATGTATGTATGTATGTATGTATGTATGTATGTATGTATGTATGTATGTATGTATGTATGTATGTATGTATGTATGTATGTATGTATGTATGTATGTATGTATGTATGTATGTATGTATGTATGTATGTATGTATGTATGTATGTATGTATGTATGTATGTATGTATGTATGTATGTATGTATGTATGTATGTATGTATGTATGTATGTATGTATGTATGTATGTATGTATGTATGTATGTATGTATGTATGTATGTATGTATGTATGTATGTATGTATGTGTGTATGTATGTATGTATGTATGTATGTATGTATGTATAACAGCCTACTTCCTACCATAAGGGGAAACCTTAGACCCAGAATTGGGTGGCAACTCAATTATACTGACAGTAGGACCAGATATGTGGTAAAATCAAGATCGCGTCAAATAATATTAATTTGAATATACTGATGGTGTCAGTTAAGTCTATTGTAAACACAAAGCAAAGATGATCATCACTCCAAAATTGTCATTTCAATATGAAATTTATAATATCTAGTAAGGTACCGGTATCGATTTAATTAGTCATCTGGTTAGCTTCCATTGACTCACGCAAGACATAGCTTTCCACTGAATTGGACGTCCTATTTAACCCTCGACCCTCTATATGACTTCACTGCATAAAACCTAACAGTTAATTTTAAACATAGTAAATTCAGTTAATTCATTTAGACCTAATTTGTTATGGCACTAAGTTTAGTGGGCCAAAGCCTACACCCAGGGGAAGTTTTGTCAACCGATATGAGGGTATTTGAACTGCAGTCTAGTACAGTGCTACTGCTGCTAAATCCACTTGGGACATGCACCATTAAGCTTAAGCTCACCCTTTACAACTCAAAATATATGGATAGGCTCTTCCCATATTTATATACATTTAAGTATATGATTTAATTGGCCACAAGCGTTAAATTTCATTGCATTTTTTGTTTACACAGCACGTTCTTTTCGATCAAAACATCCGAAGTAAATTTCAATTAATTATGACTAATTAAATGTTAAAACAATATTTTTTTAAAAATATTTTTAATGTTTCTTTTTGTGAAAATTCAGTGACGTTCTCAATTCCAAGTATGAATTTATTTTAATAAACCGTTCGAAACGGATAACCTGGTAACTTATTCACGTGTTTTTGCGTGTTTGAAATAGATTTAAAGATTACCATTATCAGCTCAGATATACTATGCTCAATGTAAGCTGTCTAGACTAAAACATCAGCAATCTTTAGAGATTTCCTAAATGTGCTTGTGATACAATGATTTGAGGCCAAGAGAATGAGCAGATGATGCCATCACAGGAAATGCTCCGTCATTTGTGAATCGTGATCCTTTACACATTAATGCCGTTCATGAGAATGACATTGTAAGCATCGTACGATTATTTACTTGTTATTTACAAAAATATAACCTTTGTTTCACGTGAATCAACCACATACTTTTATAATAATAATAAGAGGTAAGATATTAACGGTTTCATGGCCAAAGAATTTTGAGTTAGGGATTAGTTGAATATGACTTGGAGAAGAATAGTAACAGCGTACTTAAAAACTTATATTATCAATACAAAACACTCTGTTTCAAGTAACGGTAAAGCATTTTATTGAAAATAAAACTATCTGTTTTATTTTCATACACTCCAAGTTAGCACGTGCCTTAATGCGCAACGCAGTCCTGTGTAAATAAAATATGTCACACGTTTTTTGCATGATGTACGTCTTGTTTCACACTTAAAAAAACAATGCTACAAGGATAGATTCTCTTGCGTTTACACCAACGCATCGAAATTGTGTGAACCACACTCAAAAAGAACTTAATATGTGCTGTAAAAATTTAATTTGACATGGGTAAACAGATGCTAAAAATTAAGTAGATCTATGTCGCAAACTCATGGGAGAGAGCTGTGTTAAAAATGTTATATTACCTGAAGGAAATATTTAGTGATTTCCTTGATTGAAGACTTGGAAACGCCAGGTACGAATCACCAGTGAAATGTCTCGATGTTACCTCACAATGGATTCCATCGTAGCCTGTCTTGCAAACGCACTGGAATGTGCCGTCTGACCGGGTTATACATTCGCCACCATTCTTGCAAAAGTCTGGTTCACATACATTAATACTCTGCTCACACGTATTTCCTATCACACATAAACATAAAAAAAAAAAATATTAACACTATTAATAATTTCCGTCTTTGGTATTAATTGAATTGGGTGTTATGCAAAAGGATACCGTATTAAAGCAGTTTTTTTGGCTCCATGCAATACAGTAGCATTTTGCGCAATTTTACGTCAACGCATCTAAATAGGTAGTTTTCGCCGCACGACGTTAACTTCAACGTTAGTATCCAACATGCAACGCGATAACTCCGCCCCTTTGTAAACAAATCGAAATACGCATGTGCAAACCCGTAACTAACGTCCCTCGAGCACGTAAAATCCTTAAATTAATGTACTCCGCAAAGCAAGATGAATAAATTATGACGTCATCCGTTAACGTTAAGGTTAACGTCGTGCAGCGAAAACTCCATACTAGCTTTAATGTGTCATTTCATTTAAACCCTGATATATCAATATTTAAAAAGAACTTATTCGGGAAATCATTTGCATTGTAGTCATAATCAACCAAATTCACCAAGGCGCTGAAATTTATCATACAAATAAAAATTATCATGACACATGGCAAACCAATCAGCAGTGTCTTGCATTTCAGTGAGGCCCGTATTCTCGAAAGTGGACTAAAGCTTGGTTTCCATACAATCGCTACACGCTATCGCCGACAGCTTTCGGTGATGCTGATTGGTCGGTCGAATCAGAGGCCTTCCCAATTGCGTCGGGGACTGCTACGCAGTACAAATTGCACTGAAAACACTGTTGTGACAGTGTAGCGATTTTAAAGAAACCAGGCTTAACTTTAGTCCAGAGCTAAAATTAATCCTGTACTAACTTTGTTCACTTTTGATAATATAAATTTAGTTGGGATGATTAGTTTAGCTTGATTCTCAATTTAGCCGCGTGACGCGCGCGCAAAAAACGCTAACGCCTAGCGTCTCAAGTGCTCTAGTGTGAACCAAACCTTCGAGTTGCAACCGTTCCAAGAAGTGAGTAATTTTCGCGTGCTTAGTACGTTACCTTTATAGAGTAGTGGGCAGTCGCAAAAAACCTCGCCATCTTGCATAGAGCACTCACCACCATTTTGGCATGGGTTAGATGCTAGACATAAGTCGAGTTGTTCAGAGCAGTCGGCACCACCGTAACCTGGTGGACAAACGCATTGTGTTTCATCAGACATTAACAATCCCGCATATACAACATCATGTCCTTCAGAAAACAACATTGATGTGTCGTACAGGCTACGATGTAGTTGACAAACTTGATAATTAAAGCACTGCTTTGTTATACAAGGATCTTCATGTACCTGTTCAAATCTAAATCCGAGTCGAGATTCCAGTTTTGTTGACGATAAATACAGCGACGTTTTTGAAGAATCAACAGAGAAGAACTTGCCGTTATTATCTCTCACTGTCATTGTAATGTACGTATCTCGTGAATATGGTATTGCTTCTAAGTTAAAAGCAAAAACATTCATGGGGTTGACCCTGAAGATTTCGGCGATGGCATTTCTGAATCGATGTAACCCAGGGACGGTAAGCATCTCCTCTTGCGTCACATCAAACAATCTCAACTTAAAACTGTGTGATGTCATCTCTTCTGTTACCATTGTGAGTTCGATTGTACAATGGGTCTTTATCGTGTGAATCCCATCTAAATTGAGAAAAACCAGTCCAGAACTGAATTATCATTCAGAGTGTACTTAATATCTAATATTGTGATTGGTATAATGTGTATAAAATTACCATATTGAGCTAAATACTTGATAACAATTTGCCTGAATTTATTAATGTAATTTAAAGAAGTTTAACGTATCTGGTGTGTTTTTGCGCAATGCTGTAGGAAATCAATTTTATCATCATATCTATGTTGACGAGGCACTGAAATAAATTGCTCGAATTATCAGGAAGAAAAGCAAATACCTCAATGCGGTATAAATAAGGTGATAAGTGTTTTGTCAAACTATTTACCCTGGATGTAGGCCTACTTATAATCAAATTCTAATGGTTGATACCACAATATTTCAGAAAACCCCCTTCTACACAAGAATAGGCTAAGAGTTTTTTTTTTTAAATGTCACAGCACAGAACATACAAAAACCCCGGTAAAAGGTTAGACAAACAAGTGAGCCTAAAGTAAAGTGATCCTTTGGAAATATTGATATTGCATAGGCCTATGCCTTTAAGCTCATTTTTAAGATCGTTTCATACTCTCGTAGGATAATAAGGAAATGAAAAACCTCAAAATTCTCTTATTACTGGCCCACGAGGTACAATGTAAAGTGAATAAAGAGATTGTTTTTAGTGTAAGACATCCCTTGGTAATTTTTTTATGGTGTAAATTTTTAAAATTATGAAAGTTGAGAATTACACTTTCCATTGCATGATTTTTCTTGTGTTTGCAATAAAAAAAATCTTCTAACTTCCTTCTCACTATTGATAATATCAATAACTACGTACTGTTGAAGGGGTATCCATTAGTAGGGGGTGTTATTATTATTATTATTATTATTATTATTATTATTATTATTATTATTATTATTATTATTATTATTATTATTATTATTATTATTATTATTATTATTATTATTATTATCACATTATTAAGAAGACACAACAATAATTGTTACTTAACCAATATCCTGAGGCGCGTGGAACGGAGAGAGTAGAGAAAACAGTAGAACTTATACATACTGTTTGTGGTGCTGAACTAATAATAATAATTCAAATAATAAAACATTAAATAGTTAAACCGTTATTAAATTTGATCTTTACCTGTGACGCTAATGTACATTGTTGTACTAATAGTCTCGTTGTTTGATAGAGCTATCTCGCTTTTCCCTAGTCTTGCCAGACCATTACTGTCCACTGTTATCAGATCTTTACCGTCATCTGTCTGACCTCCCTCAATCACTTTAAATTTCAATCGGTCATTTACATCTGCATCCTTAGCGGGGATCCAGAACCCTGTCCATCCTGTCTTACCCTGGAAGTAATTGACGTAGGCCCTGAAATCTTGTAGTGTTGGTACATTGTCGTTTGTATCCAATATGTTGATAACGACTCTAGCTTGAGAGAAAACGTCGCCATGGTAGGCGCGCACGATGAGGTTGAATCTTGAATAATGCTCAAAATCGATTGTCCCTGTATTGAACAGTTGGCCAGTTTTTTTATCAATATCAATGATGTCTTTCCCGCCTTTATGAAGTCTATATTCTGTTGCTTGTGAACCTATAATATCGTTTGCAATATCGGCATGTAGGTGGCTAAGCGGGTGATCTATTAATTCTTGATTTTCGGTGATGTTTATGTAAAGAATGTTGAATGGAAATTTAGGTACGTTGTCATTTTCATCGATTACGTGTACTACGTAAGTTGTTTCTGAATAAATCCTTCCAGTTTTAGCACGAACTGTAAGTTTATATGTGTTGATTTCCTCGTAATCAAGTGGATAGAGCACACTAACAACACCGGTTACTTTTGAAACTCTGAAGATGCGTTTAGCTCCCTCCGGTTCAACCCGAGTCAAGATGTAACGAACGCTCCTCTGGAGTTTGGCGGTTGCACACTTTGCCACAACAGTTGCATTAACGTTTCCAACAACATTTTCATTAATGTATCCATGTAAACCTTTTGGAGGGAATTTTGGTAAACTAATAACACGTACAATCACCCGGGTGGAGATTTGATTGTGGATTGGTTCCCTTAGCTTAGCATGTACAACTAAAGTATATTTTAATTTCGTCAAATTTTTCAGTGAAGCAATTGTTGATATTACTCCGGTGTTGGGGTCAATAGCAAATGGTGGCGTCTCTTTTTCTGATAACTTCCTTTTTAAGCTGAACGTGACATGTTCTCGGTATTCTGTAAAAAAAAGTTCATGTAAATTAAGATACTTTTATCATTCGTGTTAATACTCAAGATATTAATCATGTTTAAATTTGTCAGAAAATACCTTGATTGGAACCTCGAGAAACATGAGCTACAATAACGGCAGAAACAGCAGTAACAATGAGATCAATATCATCACCCTTATTATCATCATCAACATAATTATCATCTTTATTATTATTATTATTATTATTAGGCCTATTATTATTATTATTATATGATTATCATTTATTTATATTAGGCCTATTATGATTTTGTGAAATGGACAGATTAATTATATTGAGAGTGTAGTAGTAGTAGTAGTAGTAGTGTACAGTAGTAGTGGATATCCGAAGGAATTAAATTCAGCAAAGTCAGCAGATGGGGATGTGGGATTAGGCCTAATCTGAACATTTGCCGCAGTTGTCATACAAAAATAAATTCGACAGCTTACTGTCATCTTGGGTCAACAGCACATTTAGAATTTCTACACTCTTCGCAACAATTCACAAGGGAGAAAAATTGTTAAATAATATATGTGTTGACGATAATTATGAAATATTTATTTTTTTAATATAAAAAACATCAATTGGAGGCGAATCAGGGATAGCGTAAGGCACAGGTGTGTATCAGTGGAACACATCTGAGAGAAAGACTTCCACGGTTAACTGAAAACGGATGTTTTAAGCAGAGCGAGTGTTATCAACATCGAATTCACTCGAATATAAATCCAAATAAAGTACATTTCGTCGGGTTTGAATCTTTAACGAAATGTGTATAGTGACATGTAAAATCTGCTGACAAGACATTGCACGTATTTGATGTATAGGACAAAAAAAATATTCTTTTCTCCGCCGTCAACTGGCTACGAAATTTTGTTGAACTGAGCAAATTTAAAGCCTACGTTGGCATTTTGAAATCACGACCTTCATATAAAAATTAATAAAAGTTTGGAATGCAGGCGGGTAAGATACCGGAATAGTAAATTGATAAATTAGAAAATTACTCAAGACCAACAGGGTGCAGTAGGTAAAAAATTACCATAATATTGGACCCCAGATAACGGAACTACAGGTGTAGGTTCACGCAGAGCTTAGGCAGTTAAAATGAAATATTTTGCGGATCTCAAACTACCTCTTGTGGGCTTTTAAATGAATAATTGGTTGGAAATATAAATACAGATATTTACAAATTATGTACATTACTTGCGTAAACATACCTAAAATTGAGCTAGTTATTGAAAAAATAAAATTAAACATTAACATGTTATGAAATAAAAAAAACGTCACTAAAGTAATTATAAACAATACCGATCGCTATTATGTACAGTACATTAGCAGTAGCTTAAGCCCTAAGTTCTTTGCAATGTCATGTCATGAAACAAATTATCAGATCAAAATTTAATAAACACTGTACCTTTGTGTAGGCAATGTAATGACAAAGGCTAGTGGGCGGGACTAACCTATGACATTTGAACGATGCCAAGGGGCAGCTAATGTCTTTAATCAAGACATAATTATTCTTATAAATTATACTTTGTAACACATTGTTGATTGACTTTAAATGCAAAAAAAAACCAAAAAAAAAACAAAAAACAAAGAACAAGAGAGCAAAGACAAATGTCTTAGGCCTATGGACAACACATAATAATAGGCATCGAATATGAAAAACAAAAATCAAAACATGCAACTGTCATTTCAGTAATTCATTCTGCGCTTGGGGATTTACCGTAGCTTTCTACGGTGTAAGGGGAGGGAGGAAGAGGACGTCTTTGGAACGATGGCAAAATAGTATTATTAATGTCATCAGCGTGGCGGCATAAAGTCGTACTAGGCCCAGGGGCTATGTTGTTGGCACGGTGGGACGTTATCAACCCAGGGGCTGCCATCTAAGCAGCCGGCCCTCACCAGGTTCGTGCATCTATAGAGTACTAGTGGGGGAAGACCCTGGGAACGCTAAAGGTCTATGTAGGCCTACTCTAAACCTGACATAATTGTAGTTTTGGAGAGTTTCCAAGATAAATTATTATAATTCATTATTATAGTTATTTTTCCCCAAAGAAGAAATCTGTTGATATCATAATTGGCATTACGTTTATTTTATGATATTTTGCCTTACTTGTTTATAGAATCACTAGACATACTCTAACACCTGTCTCTTATACACATCTAGATGTGTATAAGAGACAGACTGTTATCTTACTAAATGCTCAGTACGTTTCCCAAATAATTGCGAAAAACAATCTCACAACTGATTCGGGTAGGAATCGAACCCATGACATCCAGATAACTACCCTGGTTTCTTAACCACTAGACCACCGAGCTTGTGCTTATAGTAGCTAGTGTAGCAGCGGGTACTCCAATGTTATTTTCGGAAGTATTTGGGAACGTACTGAGCATGCATTCAGTATAATAACACGTCATGTAGGGCAAAACATCGTTCCTATTTTTTTTAAAATTATTATTATACCTTTTAGTATTAGGCCTACGTCATGAAAATTTACTTAGTATTTTATAACTAAGAAATTTTATTATTATATTGTACATTTTAGCTTTAGGTTATTTATGCAAATTTACCTAGTAGGCCTATTTGAACTACTGTAAGCAATTAGTTAACAATCCGTTCTAAGGCCAAGTTCAGGAATAATTTGTGCACAGTCACGGGGAAATAACCTAAATAGGCCTATGCAACATTTGATTACCGTGTCGTGCCAGATCGAGAAAAACTAGACGTTTCTCATTTTATAGAAAAAAAAATATGAAGACGTCGCAGATGAGATACACTAATTCTTATGAGTATTCAATTTCTCTATAATATTATGACGTCCTATAACAGGCCTACTTTCACGTCATGTTCAAACTGCGCTCAATAAGCCCATAACTCCCGTATGTTGTAGGCGTTATACCTTGTACTGCGGCACCTGCTTAGCCTATGCGTAAGAAATTTGACATGACATTAAAACGGCTGATAAAAGTCATAGTAATTGAAGACCTAGGCCTATCCCTAGTCGATAACATATACAATATGCAATAAAAAGGAAAGCCCAAATCTCTATAGCAATCGAATTGAGATTTGCTAAACCAAAGCAATTTGTACGAATTACGCCTTTCTATTTCCCTGCTTCATATTAATGTTGAGTTCCAGGGCTACATTGGAAAGTGGGGGAGCCCTAGAATAGGCGAGATACGAGCAGTTGCGTATCTATGAGTCTTGAAGAGGATGCGGCCCGATGTTGGGGAGGTGGAGTGGGGGCTAGAAAGTGTTCCAAGGGGATCAGAGAAAGCCTCCAGGAATATGACAATTTAGGGTATTCAAAGGCTTATTTAATCGATTTTGGAGACTAATAATATGCAGCAAACACAATTAGACCCTTATACATTCATTTTCTTTCCGACGAATTGTGGTTTTCCTCTCCAACGGGGGTGGGGGAAAGGAAGCTCTCTTCAAAGCCCCCCTTTGCAGGTGATACCACCCCTTATGATGAGGTGATTTTTAACTACTTGGGTGTGATTTGGAATTTTATGCTTCAAACATTTTCAATGGGGGAAGACTGGTGAAGCGAATACAGTGTTTTAGTTGTCCTAATCAGTTTTCTTATAATTAACGGTATCAATCCAATTAAAAACATCGCTGAAACTACATTACAAATTTGTGACAAACGTTACCATCATATACCGTACATCATAATAGCTTTCTAGGCTATAAGACTGAACTAGGAGTACCGTAATCAATACTAATATGATAATGGTATATAACCCAATAGTGCATTGGCTTGGACCACATTAAAATTACTTGAAGCCAACATTTATGGTTAAATGCTATGTATTTTGGCGGTTGACACACCAAGTTGTCGGAGCCCTGATACCAATGATGGATCCAAACATTTGCAGAAAGAGGGCCTAGGTGAAATTTCTGGGTAAAACTAAAATGCCCTGTTTCAGAGTGATTGTATGGTGTGGATTGGAAAAATGGTGTTTTTCGACCTTATATTAAATAACGGCAATCACAAAAACTGATTGGATTGGAAGAATAATGTTTTTAGTCCGGTGACCTCAGGTGGCGTCAGGCGATAAGAGGAGTTTTCCCCACTCAACCCCTACTGGTGCCACCACTGCCTAGCGGTCCGCCATTCTTCAGCATCGAAGAAGATACTTTCTGTTCTTATTTAATTATTCGTTTGATGCACCGACCGACACTTTTATTCGTTACATGAATTTGCCATAATGTTGGAAATTAATGTACTGTAAAACTATATATCTGATCACATTTGCAAATACTTTATATCGACATTGATGGCAGGTGCATATTTCATACTCATAGGTTAAAGTTTATATTATACAAAAATTTGACAATGTATACATCGTGTATTTTTAAATTGAAATATATATAATATATTTTGATAATATCATAAATAATGACATTGAATTGTCTCACTTTGGCTTTGGATACATCATGCAGAACACTGAATAGATCATTAGCAGCACCTAAATAGGATTAATTTCTTACCATAACGATTAGAAAGTTGTTTTAATATATCACTGGAGACCTTGCTGATGCGATCAGTTATAAGTGTTTACTTCAAAATGAAAGTTCTTGGGAGAGAGGCGGGAACAGGAGGGAACAGGCCGCCCTAGTAGGAATGATTCATTGTTGATAGAAGGCCTAGGCCACTGATCAATATTGATGTCAATTTTAAAGAAATTTTATTGCAAGAAAACGCACTAATATTTTAAACAACTATATTTGTGTTTTTATATTTTTTCAAATGTTAAAAAAAAAAAACGTCAAACATTTCAGTAATCTGCTTCAAGATACTAGCAGAAATCGTGTTCTTTTAACAAATAGACATAAAATTAGGTGTGGCACCGGGGGAAGGGCACGCCCATCGGGGAGAGCTGCCCTGCCACCCACCCCCCGCCCCCCACTCAAATGAAAACAGTCTTTGAAACGTCTAAATTGTCAAATTTAGGCGTCTTTCGCCTGACCACCTTCGA